TGAATTGAATATTTTTATACTAAATACTAAAATTTATATACTTAAATTTATTACGAGTTGGGTTGGTGCTCTTTCATATGCGATTTTTTTTTTTTAATTTAGCACGTTTTGCACAAGCAATAGTTGATGATTAATATAAGTATGTACCTAAATACGTTAAAATGACATGCACAGAGTTTTAAAATTATATTAAGCAAAAGCCATACGTTTTGAAACAAGCTCACAGCAACGAAACAAATGACTGATATTTTAATGTTACCATGTATTTAATCTTTTTTCTTTCGTGAAACCTAGATTACTTATAAGTACCGTGCCGTACAGAATTATTGGCTAGGGGACTCTTTTATGCGATCACAATTTCTAATCAGATCTTTTAGAAAAATTTTGAAAATGTAGCTTTTTAGCCAATTAGTAAAGTGCAAGTCTGAAGTTACCAGAAAATTTCGTTGACTTTTTGCAATTATTTATTTTTTGCTGACAGTGTCTTCCACATACAAAAAAATGTCGAACATAGTTTGTATGGAAGAAACTCTCAGTAAAAACAATACCAAATATAAACTAAATTTTTATGGGCCGCAAAACTTCATTTTCAAAATTTTTATAAAAAAGTCTGAATAGAAAGTTGCGAATTTGTATGCAAAATTATTGCATTTTCCCGAGTTTTGCACAAAGTTTAGAAATTTTATTTTTATGTTTTCTGATGTATAAACTCTATTTTTATACATGCATTGTGGAAAATTCTCTGTACTTTAGTTGTGATAAATTGTTTTGTTTTGCTGGTGTACGTTGTAATGATCTCATGATCTCATGTTTTTATGTTTTTTTTGTCAAAATATAATTTTACTACATCCTTTCGTACGTAATTTTTGGAAGGGAGCGAGAGGCCTCTCCTCTGTCCTCTTCCTTTTGTTTGTTTACATTTTTGTCATTGTCTTTTATAGCCCGAACACAATGAAAACGACGAGCTACAAACCACAGCTGTCAAATTATTTTAACACGTACTCTTATGTAGATAATTATTTTGGCGACGACCGGGCTACGCGACGGCTGTGGTTGTGGCCAGATTAGATCTATTTCTATTTTTCTGGCGACAGATAAGGTTCTTCCTCTTCTTTTATGTCAAACTCATACAAATTCATGATGTCGCTGCCGCGTTCAAAGAAATCATGTCGCCATCGACAAAGCGCTTAGATAATAAAGATGACAAATTGGAAGCTGTGGTCGGTAGCTCGTCGTTTTCAATGTGTTCAGAACTTTAGTCTTCAGTAACATGAACAGAAGTTGGCTGCATTTTATTTATGTCAAATTCAGCATGCGAAGTTTCCTGCGATGAAGGCAGTGGCAGTGAATTTAGAATTTGGGCTAAACTTAGCAGAACTGCCAGCTGCCACTGCTGTATTGTGAGTCGCTTCATTGGACACTACACTTTCTAAAAAACAGCTGATTTCGCAAAACTGCCACTGCCACTGTCACTGCGTTATTGTATTTTGGGCTAAAATACTTTAGGATTTTCTTAAGGTTTTTACATAACGTTGGAACTTCCTTAAACTCTACTGTAAAAAGTAAAAAAAAATAATAATTTAATTATAGTTGATATATTTCAGATAATATTTCATATACCTAAGAAATAAATACAACAAAAAGTTCAATCGTTTTATGGACATATCACCGGGTCCTTACGTAGCAGTTGCGATAATATGGTGGGGTTTAAATTATTTAAACATAAGGCTGGCGTTTTTTTGTCGAGTTAGTTATCTCGAACAATAACAATTTACTACAAGAGCGTGCAATTGCTGGCTTATGCCGACGACATCGACATCATCGGTAACAAAAACCGCGAAGTCTGTTCTGCCTTTTCCAAGTTCGATGGGGAAGCAAAGCGAATGCGTCTGGTGGTAAACGAGGACAAGACGAAGTATCTCCTGTAATCAAACAAACAGTCAGCACATTC